AAGAAAAACTCTCTTTTAACTCGTTCTCCTCTACACCTGAACTTCCTCCATTTCAAATTACACAATACCAACTTATTAATGCTCTAAATGTTCGAATAAATACATGAGCCACAAAGCAATGGAAGTACTAATAGAAAGTAATCAAGCATCAAGTCCATTACCCTCGGAGCTGTCCATGGGGTGAGGCAAGGACGGGGAAGGCTCAATCAGCAACGAGTCAATTACATACACCATTTAACGAGACGATTTGGGTGCAAAAGAAATACAACGTATGAATAATAATACTATCTTCAGAGCCTTATGTGGTGGCGTGCAGGCTACATAATCTTTGTTTCCAAGTGTCTTTCTTCCAGGTCAGGCTAGAAAAACGACGACCCCGATCGAGCAACGACTCCAATCCATTCGTTGTTGGGGAGATCATCCCACAACCAGAGAGAAGATCAGTACTAAAATGTATCCTCAAACAGTCTTTTCCCGAATGATTTGCAGGTCGAATGGAAATCATTGAGAAATCAATTAGCGATGTGTGGGAAAAGATGCACCAAACTAACACACCCGAACTGCAGATCGTGTTTGAAATCTTCGGCAGCAGAAGAAATCTTAGTTCTTTCATCCAGGATAATGTAAGAATATGAAATTGCATCCATGCCACGATTCTCGTCCCTTACTATTACATTTTCTTCCTATTAATGTCAATTCATTTCAAATATAACCAGCTACCCACAGGAGAGATGAGTATAACATACCTCTTCAAACAGATTCTTCGCTACAATTAATCCATGGTTCTATATTCAACCACAGAATCATACTCTTCCATGCGTAATGAACTTCCTGCAAAACATCTGAGAGGAAAACTTTCTAAATAAAAATGGCAGTAGAAAAATGATGAGCATAAAAGATGCAGTCTTGTATTGTGATAAAGAAACAAACACTACTCGCGGGAGCTTTATGAGTGAACCAGTCGTGATTATGTTGTAAAGGAACTCGTGATATTTTAATTTCTTAGGCAGGTGGCCATCATAAATTTCGCTAGTAGGAGGGGATGAAGGCGAGATATAATTTAGTTGTTTGTGCTCAAGTACACTCAAGAGGGAGGTGTCCGAGATTCTCAAAATACTCGACATTCTTCTGTATTTTCTTGTTTGGTAAGTCATTTCATTTCTCTGAATTCTATCAAAATCCATTCCTGCATTTTCTTACTCCATATATAAGAGGGTTGCTCCGAGCAAGTTAATACAGTAAGTCAATAGCCAAGGATAGTCTGGGACATTGCTTGAAAGGAGATGAGGATTAGTTATATTTTTGCATTCGAGCTAGAGGGATTTGGAACAAATGGGACAAGGGAACCAAAAAATATTGAGTAATATGGAAAATTTACTCGAACTCATCTGGGTTTCAGCTGGCAGATACAATGGTCATGCAATTCCTGGTCGCAAATTCTCGGGTATTAATATCCAAGGATAGTCTCGGGCGTTGCTTGAAAGGAGATGGTATTAGTTATATTATTGCATTCGAGCTAGAGGCATTGTGAACAAATGGGACAAGAGCACCAAAAGGTACTGAGAGTAATATGGAAAATTTACTTCAAATCTGGGTTTCAACTCAGGGGAAGATACAATGGTCTTGTAATTCCTGGTCGCCAATTCTCTGGTGTATGGTATTGTTACTGAATCTAGCAGTGAACAACACCCTCAATACATCCTACTTCTATGATTGTGCTAACAGAAATCAATACTCAGAAATCTTAAATTCATTTCAAAATTTAGATGCATCAGGGAAAAAACACGAGAATTTGAAATATTGAACAGTGAGTAAAGTACCTTAATTCATGCCAAAACA